TACTTGCGAGACAATGAAGATCTTGAAGAGGGTGATGAAAGATATTCCTCAAACTTGGTTTGGTCGAACTCGTATTCGACCGTGGATTCAACTGGAATCTTGATCGGCTGCGACACGACGGTCTCGACAGCGAGACCGTTGGCTCCCACTGTGGTCGCCAGTTTGTTTTCGTCAAAAGTTGGTCTCGTTGTGGAATTCATTATATCTTCGATCGGTTACAACAAATTCAAAAGAGATAGCCTTTTTATAAGACTTCTTTTACACAACAAAAGAGAAATTATAACTTTTTAGAAACAAACGCAGGATCGTTGTTTGGATCGCTGCTTGCGTGGGATCTTTGCCTGTGCCGGGAGTGCTTTGACTCGTGGACCACCAAATCACAGATTCTGATTGAACCGGTGAGCGGGTTTAATGATTCTTCCTTCGTTTATCGAAGTAAGCAATTTGAAGCGAATATCTTATCGATGTAAGATGTTCACTCTTCTAAAGATCAAGTCAGAGCTTAGATCTCTAGGAAATGGCCAAAAGCTTCTTGAGGATGTTTGTGAAGAAGGGAGACTCTCTCTCTTGCTCTAATTCACCAAAAGCTCAAGTCTCTCTGCTTTAATCTGCTTCTTCCCTTTTTATTTCGTCTAGGGAGGTATTTATAGGGTCATGAGTGCACAACAGTTGAAACGGCGGGTGAAATAACCAACCAGATGGCTGTTCTTTGGCCGCTGCAGTCGACACTGCCGCGGCTATTGGCGCGGCAGTGTGGACTACCGCGGCCAAAGAGGCAGTTAATAGCACGTTCCATAGTGCTTGAAACCGTTTCTCCACGTCCTTTAACCACCTTTTCGTGTTTAACTGCTTGCCCACGTCAGCACACGTTCTATCTCTGATATGCCGCCACGTGGACTTCAAATAATCATCATATAACTGCCTGAAACACCATAGCACGTCCTATAATAGCCGCTGCACTTAGGTTGTCGCGCCTTAGCCCGGCACGATATGCTGGTGCGGCCTTTAAGCCGCGGCAACATATTGTTTAATTTTTCTATTGGCCGCGGCACCATGAGTTGTCGCGCCGGAGCCGCGACACCAAGCGTTGTTTGTTGGTGTGTACATGTTCTTCCATGTTGTTTCGCTTCCTTTGAATCATTCCCTTCTGATTAAGAGAGCGGCTTGCCTTGAGTGGTATTTGGATGTCTGTAAGCATTTTTTAACGCCTACAACGACTAAATTGGCCAAAATAATAGGTTATAACTCATCAAAACATGAATTTTGGGCTTCACAAAATTATTTACAAACGGGTTTAAACCACTAAAAATTTCCATAAAATTATGGGTTATAACTCACTAAACTGTGAATTTTGATCTTCGCAAAATTATTTATGGATGGGTTGAAATGAATAAAAATGCACAAAAATTCTGAGTTATAACTCATGAAATCATGAATTTTGGTCATCAAAATTATTTACCAGCGGATCGAAACGACTATAATGGCAAAAAAATCATGGCTTTTAGCTCACAAAATCGTGAATTTTGGTCTCCATGAAATTATTTGCTAATTGATCAAAATGTCTAAATTTAGCTATAAATTTGTGGGTTATAGCACATGAAATCATGAATTTTTCCCTCCGTGGAATTATTCACAAACGGGTCGAAATGACTATAATACCCAAAAATCATGGGTTATACCTCATAAAATCGTGAATTTTAACCTCTGCGGAATTATTTGTCAACTGGTGGAAATCACTATAAATGGCCAAAAATAATGATAATAGCTCATGAAATCTTAAATTTTTGCATGCATGAAATTATTTACCAATGGGCCAAAACTGCTAAAAATTTTCAAAAATCGTGGGTGATAGCTCCTCACAAAATTGTGAATTTTAGCCTTTACAAAATTATTTGCCAGGAGTTCAAAATGATTAAAAATAGACAAAAATTATGGGTTATAGATCATAAAATATAAATATTTACCTCAGCTCAATTACTAGCTAACTGGTAGAAACGACTAACAGTAGCCAAAAATCATGTGTTATAATTTTTAGTCATTTTTATTCGTTTGGACTCATTGGCAACTAATTTCTCAGAGGCCAAATTTTTTGTGAGCTATAACTCTCAATTTTTGGCTATTTTTAGTTGTTTTAACCTATTGGCAAATAATTTTGTGGAGGCTAAAATTCACAATTTCATGAGCTATAACCCATAATTTTTAGCTATTTTATTCATTTCGACCTGCTGGATTTCATAGAGGAAAAAATTCATGATTTCATGAGTTAAAATTATGATTCTTGGGCATTTTAATCATTTCAACCTATTGGAAAATAATTTAGCGGAGGCAAAAACTCATGGTTTCATGAGCTATAACACACGATTTTTTATCATTTAATTTTAAATCATTTCAACTTGTTGGCAAATAATTTCACAGAGGCCAAAAATCACAATTCTTTGAAATATAACCGATGATTTTTTGCTATTTGCAGTTGTTTTGAACCATTTGCAAATAATTACACTGAAGTCAAAATTAAAAATTTCATGAGCTATTATCCAAGATTTTTACCATTTTTAGTCATGCTAACCTGTAGTGAAATATTTTTACACTAGGCAAAATTCACGATTTTGTGAGCTATAACACATAATTTTTGGCCATTTTTACTCATTCGACCCATTGTCAAAATTTTATGGGTTCAGCCCGTGAAAATCATGATTTTAATAAAAATAATTAAATTGCCATTGGGATGAACATAATGAAAGTAGATGAAAATCATGTATTATAACCTATGAAATGCAATGTTTTTGGTAAGCATCATTAGTTGCCATTTGGTCAAAATGAATGAAAATAAGCAAATATCATGGATTATAAATTTATAATCCATGAAATTCTGATTTTTGAAATACGGTTAGTTAATTACCATAAGATCAAAACAAAAAATTGGACAAGAATCACATTTTATAACCCATGAAAACCTTAAATTTTGAAGTACACGTTTTTATTAGTCACTAGATCAAAATGAACAAAAATTAACTAAAATTATGGATTATAGCCCATAAAGAATTTTAAAATATGCATAATTAGTTGCCATTTGGTCAAAATAAATAAAAATGTACAAAAATCGAAGGTTGTATCTCTTAAAAATTATAAATTTTGAAGTGTATGCCTAAATAATTGCCATCAGGTCGAAAGAAATAGACAAAATTCCCTAGTTAAAGTTTATGACAATCAAGAACTTTAAGTTACTCATACTTATTTGCCATGAGGCCAAAGAATGATAATTGATTAAAAAAACATTTGATATGTAGCCCATGAAAATCAAAATTTTTGAAAAAAATAATTTTCATTTAGTTGAAATAAACAAAAATTAACGAAAGTTGTTGGTTATAGCCCCATAAATTCACGAATTTTAAAAATCATTCATAATATCCCATGAAAATCACGAATATTGAAGTAATGTAAAATTAATTATCATGGGACTAAAACATTAATGAAAATTATAAAGTTTGAAGTAGCCATAGTTAATTGTCATATTTTGAATGATTGACAAGAGATAAGAATCATTGATTACAGCCCATGAAAATAACAAATAAAAATGGCCAAAAATCGTGGGTTATAGCTCATAAAATCGTGAATTTTTAGCAATTTTTAATTGTTTCAACCCAAGAGGAAAAAAAATTCGTGGAGTCCAAAATTCACAATTTTATGAACTATAATCCATAATTTTTGCTATGTTTAATTGTTCTAACCTATTGACAAACAATTCATCGCAGGCCAAAGCTAAAATTTTGGTTGAGTCCAAAATTAACAATTTTAGGAGCTATATTCAAAAAATTGTCCATTTTTAATCATTTCTAACAAAAGGAAAAAAATTCACTAAGTCCAAGATTTTTTTGCCCTTTTTTAGCTTCAACCCATTGCTAAATAATTTTATGGAGGCAAAAGTTTGCAATTTTATGAGCTATAACCTACAATTTTTTGTCATTTTTATTCGCGATTTTCATGAGCTGTAACCAATGATTCTTATCTCTTGAATCTCCCAAAATATGGCAATTAACTATGACTACTTTAAAATTCATGATTTTGATTGCTTATAACCTATAATTTTGATCATTTCGATTCATTTCGTCCCAATGGCAATACTTTTTTATGATGTTTCGACCCCATGATAACTAATTAGGCATTATTTTAAAATTTGTGATTTTCATAAAATGTTATGAATGACTTTCAAAATTCATGAATTTAGGGGCTATAGCCTACAATTTTTGTTAATTTTTATTTGGTTTGACCCAATGACAATTAAGTTTCCTTTCTTCAAAAATAGCGACTTTCATGGGCAATATTATCAATGGTTTTTTTCAATTATCATTCTTTAACCTGATGGCGGGCGTACTTAATGTCCTCGATTGTCACGAACTTTAACTGGCGATTTTGTCTTCTTCTTTTTTTTTGTCCGAGTATGATGGCAACTATTTAGGCGTACACTTCAAATTTTATAATTTTCATTGGCTATGACCCGTGAATTTTGTATAGTTTCATTTGTTTTGACCAAGTGACAACTGATTATGCATACTTCGAAATTCACTATTTTTTATGACCTATAATCCATTATTTTAGTTAATTTTTGTTTGCTTTGGTCTAATGACAAACAAAAATTAACTTATGCATTTCATGCATTTTTTTAATTTTTTTTTTCAGAAACGATAACAACTAATTATGTTTACTTCAATTTCACATTTTTTATGTGACAACTCGATTTTTGTTAGTTTTTGTTTCTTTGACCCAACGGCGAACAGATAATTTCATCTTTATCTGAAAGAAGGTCCATCGAAACCGCAATTCATCCGGAAGAATCGGATACGGGATATCTCCCAAATTATGCGATCCCAAAAGTTGCACAGGAGTTGTGACATTTAGAACAATACACAACTGAATCGCACCGATATCATGCTCAATTCATTATGCTCTCTGATACGGTTCATGACACGTGCATAACAATCGAGTACCAGAGAGCACAATACAAGGAAATTTATTTGCCAAAGCAAACATGATAAAAATGATGATATAAGCTTAATGCCGCCTGTTATTCAAACACGTTACTGGATCTATAGATCAAAAATCACCCTTCAAGCCCTTCGGGACACAACGAGAGAGTCCCACGAATCAGTGTCGAGGAGAGAGTACAGCTCCCTAGCATAGTTTTCTTCGTCGAAAGAAATTTCAGCGTCAGCGATGCTCTGCAAGCTTTCAGTACTAGCGTTGGAGCTGTCTCTCGGCACCTGACTAAAGATCAAATTCTGCATAACATCCACATTAATCCAACTTCCATCCTCTTTTCCGTTCAAGAGAGGATATTCAGTGTGCCCGTTGAAATCTTGGAAGTCAGGAGCCAACGCAGTCGGTACGAGACCATCTGAAGCATCATTACTTGTGATGGGTTTTCGAACCTGATCAGTGAGTATGGGTCTCGTGCACCGTGTGGCTCTGGTTCGTATCACATTGCCATCAGATTTTTCCTTCTTTTTTGCGACTGGATCATCATCAGCTGTATTTTTCTTTTCTGATGCTTCACCGGTTACCTTTTTCCGGAGATAAGTATTCCAGTAGTTCTTGATCTCATTATCCGTTCGCCCTGGCAGTCTTCCCGCTATCAATGACCATCTGTGCAATAACGGAACAATGAAAATATTTGCTAGAAATTTCTGGGACGAGATGAAGAAAAATGTCTATGAAAATCAACAATAAACTAAAGAAACAAAAATTTTCGTACAGAAAGAAGAGTAGTGTTACCTATTGCCTAGCAGCTTATGGAGTCTAACAATTAGTTCTTCCTCCTCCTCAGTAATGTTCCCTCTCTTTATGTCCGGTCTCAGATAGTTCAGCCATCTTAGCCTGCAACTCTTGCCACACCTGTTCAAACCTACAAAAGAGAAAGAAAAAGGAAATAAGATCGACCAAATTTGGTGTGTTTGGGTTTTAGAATATGTAGATCAAGTTCAACGGAGCGGATCATCCATAATATAGCAGATCATCAATGACTAAGAAACTTAGTAGTGGACGTCCACTTAAGTTTGACATAAGTTTTTCTGTATTGCAGTGAAATCGAGGGCACAAAAAACAATTGGAAAAAGCCTAATAATTAACTTCCAAGGAGTCGAGCTCTCCAACATCAATACACAGCTAGCCCCTCACCTGCATTCATCGGTAGGCTCCTCCACCTCCCGAGACCGTGGGCGCTGATGTAATCCGATAGAACCTTGTCTTCTTGGCTCGTCCAAGCTCCTCTCTTCAGTCCTCCTTCAGGACGGCGGCCTCTCTTCATATTCGCCGAACGCGTCTTTTTCCTGGTCACAGAGAAGATAACGGTGCTACAAGTAAGCACTGCTACTCAGTGCGTGCAGTTCAAAAGCTCTTAAGAGCTATTAAAAGCGACTAACTACTCCCAACAGCTCGAGGAACAAATTTAGCTGCAGAATCCAGTAGTAAGGCTGTCCAAATCGTGACAAATATTGGAGAGGAAAAAAAAAAAGTTGCATTTATAATGGGTCTCACTCTCTCCGCTGGTAAACTATAGTTTTTCTCTGCGGTAATCGAGTGGCGGTCTGTGTAATTTTGGAATCGTTGGGTCCGCTGGCTGTCTCTGTTTAGATTGCTATTCGTGGCTAGTTGGAGACAACTAGCTAGCGTGAGAATTTTGATCTCAGCGAATGTTGTAGGATTGGTATCCAAGTGTGTTGAATTGATAGGCCGGTCCCCCTCTCGTATTATTAATTAATGCTGGTCTTGTGCTTTAGCCTGGGTGTAGGTCGACCATAAATTATTATTATTTTTTTAACGTTTATAGGGAAATGGGTTTAAAGTTTAGGATTTTCTTTTCATACGTATGAAGATAAATGGCTTGAGCTTAATAGGAATGGAAGTTGGGGTTGAAGCAATAGACGCTTCAGGATCAATGCATGATTTTTTGAAGACCTCCTCAGGAAAAGGCTCCCAAATCAAGTGACGGGGTAGCGTTAGGAGTCAAAGGCGAATGAATGGGCAAATTTTCAAAACCAACCCCTTTCGCTATTTATTTTCAAAAAACGATCGCTTTTGAAAAAAAAATCAAAAACCGACCTGGTTTCAGCCCTGAAGCTGAAACCAGGTTGGTTTTTCCAAAAATTTATCTGAAACTTCACGGGAGAGTTCAACTCCCGTGAAGTTTCACGGGAGTTCAACTCCTGTGAAGTTTAGCAGTTTTACTAATCTTCACGGGAGTTGAACTCCCGTGAAGTTTCCGAAGTTTTTCACAAAAACCGACCTGGTTTCAACGCCAATGCTGAAACCAGATCGGTTTTTGCAATTAAGTTTGAAAGGGGTTGTTTTCTGGGATTAATTTTTTAAATAGGTTGGTTTTGAAAATTTGTCCGCGAATGAATTATATGAGAGCTGGAAGCAAAGAATTGATGTTGATGTTGATTGCGATGGGTCGGCGTTGGCGTTGGTAAATCTGATGCAAAGGTTTTTATTGAATTGCCAGGAATGGTACCGACAATGCACATGTACGTCCCTCTCCAGCGTCACGTTGCCTTCATCGCACGTCCATGGAAGGGAAATTGAACTATATATATATCGCATGAAAATACTTCATACAGCTCGCGCTGATTTTACCGTTTTAAGAACTGCTCTCGAGGTTTACCAGCCTAAAGAACTGGCCTCGTCCTGTCATCTCCTCGATTTCATCTCGATGGACGTTAAGGTGAGAAGTGAGACGCGTCTTATATAAATCTAAGAAAAGAGCCCATGGCTTTTCACGTGATCAGACTCAGGAGACGGAACAAATGCAAACTTCATTATTTTAAAGCGGTACACTAACGTAATCAACATCTTAAACAAGCAGTAGAACACTCATCGAAATACACGCATCAGTAGCATCTCCAAGAGTTGGATTATTTACTTGAGAACACATAACAGAAAGCAGTTATTTATTGGCAACAGCATGAAGAAGCGGCAGCATCTCTTAAAACTCTCAGCCTGCAACCTTCCGAGGATAACTCCTGGCGAATGGGCTATCATAAGATCGGCCAAACTGCAAACCTCCAGCTAGTGGTGGTGGCCTCGACAGGTTTTGTGGAACAGAGCTTACTTTCAGTTGGGTGAAGTTGTCAGCGATGTTTGAAACTTTGTTGTAATAGGGGCCTCTAGAGTGGGCAAGCTTCTCGTCAGGAATATCCCATGTCTTGCGAGTGTTGTTTCTCCCCATATATCCTGCAGCAGAGATACAAGAATGTTCTAAATTCAGGTCTGGTTTTTTGCTTTGGAACTAAAAGATAGGAGCATGCGCGAAAAGACATTTCATTTCCCCAAGACTTTCTCGGCCAATTCATGATTGTAACTGCTGGCATTTAAACGAAAATCTGTATCTTTTTATGAATGAGGACTTAAAAGGATCAAAAACTCAAGAGTGCACCACTAAAACTATTACAAGTTTCACCTCTATAAGTGGAGAAATAGGACACAATTTCAGAAAGGGGAAAAAATTACTATACCTTTCCGGGAAGCTATTTTAACTTAGTTATATGGTGATAAAAAGCAATCATAAGTAACTTTCTATGGTTTAGGTCCCATATGTATCTATTCTAGATACATTTTTTATGATTTAGGTCCCAGATGTACCTATTCTAGATTACAACTGAGCATGGCATGCTCAAGATCAACTGAGCATTACATAGCATGCCCAAGATCAACTGAGCATTACATAGCATGCCCAAGATCAACTGAGCATTACATGCCCAAGATCAACACGTGCACAGGCATTTTATTATCCCTCAACAGTTCAACTAATCATTGAAACTCTACTGATTTTTAAAAAATTTTGAACTTGGAGGTTTCTGTGGGGCTTGAACCATATATACTCTCTTAAAGGAATAAGAAAAGTTTACATAAAATGCATTTAATGAACATCTGATATTTTTTAAAAAAAATTATTGCATGACGTATTTTACAAAACCTAGAAACATACTAGAGTGAGAACAAGAACTTGCCTGGATTGTTTCTTGGTGGGGGTACATAGGGGGGTTGTTTCAGATTGTTCTGCATTCTTTTCTCATTTCTCTCATAATCCTGCAATTTGAAAAGCATTTAACACACAGAAGACACATACATGAAGAGAATATAGTACAAATATAAATCTACTTACATCATAATTCATCTCCAGTTTTCGCTGCACGCCTGTGGCAAAATCAGAAAACTTAGAACTATTTAGACATTACCACATTGGTACTTCACTTTGTTAGCTCTTGAGCACAAACTAAAAGAGTGGGAGACTAACATCCAAAATTTAAATGAAAGTGAAACATCACCTGTCTTTAATGATGCAACAGGAACATGTGGGGATGAGAAATTGCTAGAAGATTTGGCATTATAGAAAGTCTCAACAGAAGCTTTCCTAGAACTTTTCTGATGCTCCAGAGCCCCTTTAACTCCAACTGAATGAGTAAAACAGCAACAAAATTTAATACCAGGATTCTAAGAAATAAAAAAGAATGGGGAAAAATGAAGAAGCTGGAAGGGTAGACAAACCAGATGGGGGAGTCTTCGGCATCCCAAATGCTTTAGGGCGAAGTGATGGTGGGATGTAAAAGCAGCTCTGTTTCATATGCAAGTGCAAACCAAGGTAAGAAGTGAGCAAAATTATAGTTACCAAGAATATCAATGATAGAAGAGGTCATACCTGGAAGAAAGGATGTTGGAGAGCTTCTGCTGCAGTGGGTCTCTTGTATGGATTCCAGGAACAAAGTGACTGAAAAAGGTATACACATAAGATTTAAAGGCAGCCTTCTTTAAATGATGTTTTAACATTTAAGATGTGAACTGTGCTTACTGAAATGAGGCTGATTGCATCCGCACTAGCTGTGGGAACGAGCAATGAGAGATGCATGCCACCAAACTGTAACAGCAGGGGAGACAAAGATGAACAGCATGATCCAAGCTACTGCTTTTAGTTGAAAGTTTGTATATGTGTGATAAAAATAAGGCACGTTGAACTCTATTCAATACAAGAATAGAAGCACGTGACATTTAATACCTTACATAAAAAATAAGACATTGAATTATAAACATCCATAAGCAGGCACAAGTTATTCCAAATAATTGGAAACCTTTCAGGTCCAGTTATTCAAGGGGGCATAAAGTATAAAAATAGGACTGAAACAAGCAGAACAAAACATTTTGAAACATCAAAGGATAAAGCTCAATGAATCAGCTATCAGCAATGGCCACTGTGTAAAAGAACCTAAAAGATAATATGAGTTCCTTAAATCACAGCACTCAACATTTACTCAAACACAGGATGGCTAATTGAATGTGTTCGGTGTTCAAGATAAATAAGATAACAAAACAGGGATGCTTTTTTAATAAAAGTTTAAAAAAAAAAGATAACTACCTGAATGTATCTATGCAGTTGCAAACCTTTAACTAGTTGTAGTAAGGTGAGATTGTACTGAAATAATGAAAATATTTCAACTCTAAACAAACCAAGAGAAACATCCTAGTAGAATAGTATGAAGCAAAATTTAAATTAGCAGTCTCAGATACTAGCAATAGTAATTCTAAAATAACAAAAACCAAAACAATCAATTACTAAGCTGTAACTCCGGATATGAGTACACACAGGTTATTACTAGGTATGAATCTACAGCCTAATTTGTATCCTAATTTGTACTGGGTTATGATACAAGGGAGTGCTGTGATTCAAGAGGGATCAAGCCCCCATGGTGTAGGCAGGAAAACATAAAAGAGCAGTTAGTTTGAAAAGTATTTGCTTCAATCATTATATATAGATTAAATATTTAATTGTTTTAAATAGAAAATAAATAACTAAAATGGAATTTTGAAGTCAGGTAACTCAGGTTGTGTATGGAAGCACTGTCAACAAATTAACAAGGGCATAACCCCCCCCCCCTTTTTCTCTCCATTTCTTTCCACATTCCTCTTTTTATGTTACTTATTCTCTCATCCCTCGCCCTCTTTTCATAGAAGTGGCCGCATATGCAGCACCTATGCTGCCATATGCAAAAGTGATAGGATGTTGCATACTACTTTTTATAACATTTGAAAAGGCAATTTCAGCCGGATATATATGAGATGCATGACAAACATAATCCAAGAAATCTACATCAGATAATACCAACAAGATTCCGTAATTTATTATTAACCCAGGAGAAGTGCAAACATGCTATATACTTACAGAGTTATAAAATGATGCAAGCAAAATAGTTGAAATGAGTGAAAAGCACAGGCTACGATCATAGCTACATGCATACTCCAAAATACATCTCAGATTAATGAGTACGGCAAAATGAAACAGTGGAAATATACGCTGCGAAAAAAATAAAAAAGAATTGACTGTATGTACAGGATAATGTGCATGTAGACAGAAAGATATGTAATCTAATTAGGAGTTATAACCTGTGGAAATTGATATTTGAGAGCATTTGCAAGGTTCAGTCCTTCAGACCAGGAATTTTGATTTGGGGTCCCAATAACACTGCAAATTTTGTAAAGCTCGTCTACTTCACTGCATAAGAGAAAGGTACATGGTTACAACAAACGAGAAGCCAAAAAAGAGTGAAAAATAAGTGAAGGTTCGCTAGCAGTTGAGGTGTATATATTGAGCTTTACTTATAAAGAATTCAGGACAAATTTGGTATAATGATACTATATGCATATTTGAATTATAGGGCAGTGCCAAGTGCCAACTACACTAAGCATTTGCTACTATTATTGTTAGAATGATGAAGTTGGCCCCTTATCTTGTCACTATCTTCAAGACAAAACAAATGGATCCGATCTTTTTGTCATTTACATTAGTACAACAGCATAAACTAGTCCAATTAGCATTCCCCTAGCAATTAAGTAGGTCAGATTTATTTAAAAATCGTGATTTTTGGCCACATCAATTTCTTAATGACAAAACCATCCTCCTGTCCTTTCATCCAAGAAAATATAATCAGTAGGAAACTATAATTGTAGTGGCAGGAAATGTGTAATGTCCAATTAAAAACAAGGGTAGCAGTAAGAAAATTCATAAGATGCACATAGGTCTCCTCCCTAGCCTCGTTGTGAAATTAATCTGAGGATTTTATATTCTCTCCTTCAAGTTATTTGAGTAAATTAGGTTTTTATTTTGCATCTTTCTTAATAACTGGCTGAATTTATAAGTTATATGCAGCATGCCTGCAAACCAAACTGTTTTGGGGCCCTCTTTCGTGCTGAGCCAGCTCAAACTGACAGGATTTAATCAGTTTCAGACGAGCTAAACAAGATCGCTATCAAATATAAAGATATAATTTGTGCTCACAAATATGCAGCTGCAGAATACCAGTGAAGGTATACCTTGAACCAGGAAAAAGAGGAGAAAGTGTGAATAGTTCAGCCATAATAGCACCCATTGCCCACATGTCTGGAAGTAACAAAAATAAATCATTAAACATATAATATTTAAAACCATCTAAGTAAGCATCAGCATTCATGTCAAATTATCGACTAACCAACAGCAGAGCCATATACAGCAGACTGGAGCAAAATCTCGGGCGCTCTGTACCTAAACATCCACATATATATATCAATGTCAGTACAATGAATAAGCTGAGAAATCTTGTAATGAAATAAACTGAGAATAAATTTAATGAAGCCACAAAATTCTGCACTAACCAACGAGTTGACACATAATCCGTGTATGGTGGCTGTGAAGAAATTTCGCGAGCAAGGCCAAAATCAGCTAGTTTAATGACATCTTTTGTACACAGCAAATTTTCTGTGGCCGATCATTTAAAAAAACATGTTAGCACTATGGATTATAGCTTTCCTACTTCAACAGGCGTGAGCAGCTAATAAGGAAGATCCTCAATACATAAAAGATGACTGATTAGAAGTCTATAATGATTAAGACAACACTAAAAAACAAGTGAAATTTGCAGAATAATATAACAAAGAACGCTACCAGGCTTAAGGTCGCGGTGGAAATAGCCATGCTGGTGCACATAAGCCAAAGCCTGAAATATTTGAAAGCACCAGTTCCTGATTTCTGACTCGGCGAAAAGCTTATCTCTATCCTTCATCAGCTGGTAGAGATTGCATTCCTGGTATCATACAAAATCTTAATAACATACAACGTCGCTGTAAATCAGAGGAAAAGCAAAGAAATAGCAGGAATAGAAGAAAAACACATACCATATATTCAAAGACAAAGAATAAAATATCATTCTCTCTTATAACCTCCTTGAGCTTCACTATATTGGGATGGTTCATCCTGCGCAGAGACTGAAAAAGAAAGATTTTCAGAAAGGGATAACCATAGAGCCAGAAAGGACAGGACTTGGGAACAGCAACTACCTTTACTTCTCGAAGATTCATGCACTCTTCCCATGAATAATACTTCTTCTTCATTTTCTTAATTGCAACCTGCAAAGTTTAGTAATTGGTATGAGTATCATGGGGAATATAAAGGTTATATATGCCGTCTCTGAAACTGCAAAAGATAGCTTGAATTCACTAAGAAGAAACAACTTCAGGAACATACAACTTCGCCGCTCTGCTTATCGATTGCTCGCCAAACATTTCCAAAAGTCCCATCGCCTACTTCCTTAATTACCCTGAATCTGAGACAGATAGCACAAAACATGTTCAGAACCAGTCACTTAGTACTCATGTAACTGTTACTATGTTGGCGGAGTATCATGGGGAATATAAAGGTTATATATGCCGTCTCTGAAACTGCAAAAGATAGCTTGAATTCACTAAGAAGAAACAACTTCAGGAACATACAACTTCGCCGCTCTGCTTATCGATTGCTCGCCAAACATTTCCAAAAGTCCCATCGCCTACTTCCTTAATTACCCTGAATCTGAGACAGATAGCACAAAACATGTTCAGAACCAGTCACTTAGTACTCATGTAACTGTTACTATGTTGGC